AGGCGAAAGCACATTCCTGACATGGCCATGGTGATGGTGGAAGGTCTCTCCCTTCGAGTCTTCTCGAAGCGAGTGAACGATGGAAAGGTGGTTTGAGTCAAAAAGGCTTATATAATAACGAAAATGGCCAGTACAAGTGCACATGAAGCCATGAAAGCAAGGCGCCTCTGCTGCAAAAGCCTGCGCATCTCGAGTTGTTACTTTTGAACTAGTACAGGTTTACCAAGAACAACAGCAGGGACGGTCAGTGCCCAAAGATTCTTAAGTGTACTGTTTTTGTGTTTAAAGATCATCCCGAATCCTGTGTTTCCCGTATGTCAAGCGGTCAATTTGCACCATGCTGACATGCTCGCAACGTCACCTCTGTCACCTCCATCGCTTCTCATCCTTGGAAAAGAAGTCCTGCGAGGCTTGCTTTTGGTCATGAAAATGGCTGATCTGCCATTGAAACCTGCTAAACAAACAGTGGAAAGTGGAAAGCTGTGGAAACATTGGACGACTTGGTTCCTGTGAAGGACAAAAACCAGCAGGTCGAATCAAGTGACACCTTCGAATCGACACCACCTGGACGAAGAAGCGAATCATCCCACCTGCAACCTGCAGCTGTGCCAAATTCCAGGCATCTAAGAAATATGGATGCCGTAGACGGCGTGACTTTGTGCTAGAAGATCAAGCGTGCATGAGCAAAAATGTGCAAAAGTCCGGAAGCAAGGGTTGATTTGCCGCCCTTTTCTTTCGCAAACAAACAAAGGTATCGGTTTTGTAAAAACCGGTGCATTGGAAGAAAAGAACGCAGCCCTTGCTGCGCGAAAAGAAGCCGAACGGGCAATCAGCTTGCAGGGAAAAAAGCTGAATGCAAAGCTCGGATTGTGTGGGAAAGAGATTTAAAAAGTTGGCTCTTCCCGATGTAGCCTGATGTACATTAACCTGGGCGATCGCCAGAAACAAAAGCTGGTCGATTCACACGCAAATCTCTTCCATTTCCGAAACTTGAACTTGTCGACGGGCAAAGCTGAAGCTCTTCTGAAGGTATGTCTGCATCTTTGAATCGTCTTCGAAGGTCAAAGCCAACATTTTGCCGCTCTGGCGATGATCTTTGGGCTTCGCTTCATTGGAATGGGTTGAAACCCGGGAAATGCGGCTCAGAAAGCTTGGTCCAATGGACACACGAGATTGCGTGGTCCTAGAGACTGTATCATCGAAAGGTTTGGAAGCAAACATGCTAAACGAACCGAACCTCTTGTTCTTGTGGCTCTTGGGTGCCGACACTGCCATGACTTGCTGCTTGATCCTTCCGCCCTCACTCAAGAGGTACTGGGGTGGCAAGAAGACTCTCACATCCTCTCGGCATGCTGCCAGCAGCAGCAAAGCTGTTGGTGCATAGTTCCCGCTCTTGCAAAGGGCCGATGCCAAGTCCTCTTCCGAGAATCCTTGGCAAACGTCGCAGTAAGTCTTCTGGCGCCCAATGAACTTTGCGAGCAGCAGGCTGTCTGGCTCTGCTGCTTCTTCCACTCCCTCGAGCGCTTGCTCCACGCGCTCCTGAAAGCTTTTCTTCAACTCAGCCCGAGCCTTGCGAACAAGGCGATGAACAATGACCGTTGTCTTCAAGAGCTGGGGAAAGCGGAATGGAGAAGCCTTCACCTGCCCCGACTCATTGTAAGTGCTCAGCATGGCATCCATCAGCTTCATGTACTTTGGGACGTAGCCCGCCTTCTTCTCCTTGGCCTCATTCTCCTTGAACAAGCAGAAGGCTGTGAGGATGTCGCAGTTGCAAAGCTCCAAGTAGTAGCCATCAGGGTCACGAACAAAATACTGCGTGATCTTCCCTTCGCTGTTCTCGAATGCTTCAACCAAGTTCTCTCGAGCCTTGTTGGGATCAGGCACTGAAATGTTCTGCCGAAATGGCACCTCATATTCCAGCAGCTTTTCCAAGACCTTGTGAGGCTCGTCTGTGTCGAGGGCAATGTGCGAGACGATCAAATCTCGACCAGAAGGGGCATTGGGAACTCCCTTGATCAAGTGCAGCTCCAAATTTCCCATGGTAAGCCAGGCACCGTGCCGATCAAAGTTGGGCCGCTGGATTTGCTGGAACCCGATGATCTCGGTGTAGAAGGCCAAGGAACGTCCAACATCCGAGACAATGATGGCAATGTGGTTCACACTGCGAATGAGATCTCCCATGCCACGTCGAGGAATTTCAGGATCCCAGTGAAGGTGAGGCTCGGGTGACTTGGATGAAGGAGTCTTCCTGGGGAAGAAGACCAAGAAGCAAACCAGCCCCACCAACGCATTAGATGCGATTAGCACAGCTGGTGTCGCCACAGGAAACACCTCCAAGAGCGCAAGACCTCCACCAGTGAAAGCACAACACACCAAGAATGCCAACATGAGGCGAAAGCACATTCCTGACATGGCCATGGTGATGGTGGAAGGTCT